GCGTTCGCCGCTAATCTATACGTAATTGTCTCGATATACTACGAGACACGTTTAATACAGAGTCTGGTTAACAGTGAACCGCCGTCATTCCGAGTCCGCGTTGTTCAATATTGGTACGGAACGAAATCGGATTACCCCGGTATTATGACAATTTCCTCGGGATGCGCTAATTCCGTTGCACGTTCCTCTTCGCTTCATAACAAGAATCGAAACCGTCTGAAGTGTTTGCGTCCCTTGTTACGCTTCTCACCATCCCTCTATGACGATCATTCCCAGGTAATGTTTCAGTTCGAGAGTTTAATAGAGAAGTTTCGACTCGCATTACGCAACAATTGTAATTGATCTTCATTACACAAGGATGATCGTCAATTGTGTTGAAACGAGTGTTTTCCAGTTCGGAAAGTGTAAACGAAGTTACTACTCCTGGTTCACCTTGTCGATCAATATTTATGAAAATATAACCTTCGTCAAACTTGAAAGTCATAAACCTGCCGATGATCGTAATCTTGACACGCAAACTTCGTCTACGCGTTCCATTAAGTTAACGTTAAATTATTAGGAGGTTGCCAACTACATACATCGATTGCAGCTAAACGGTCACGAAGTTCCACCACTTTTAGTCTTTAAACTGTACAAGTGAAATTTTGTCACTCTTCAAGCTGATACGGATACATAAATTTCATTTCAAAAACAAACATAATTATTGGATACAGTATGTTAAATAATAAAGATCATAGTTACAATTGATGTGAAACTATTGAGTGTACGCGTTCTTCGAGTTAGTTGTCGTTCGAGTGTAGAATCCCGCCATTTTGAATCTCGCAAACGATTCGCTACAACATCCCACGGCAATATCCAAGCAAACGTGACGTTACCATCGACTCGGAGCAACAAATAAACCGAGTACATCAAATAAAGGGGCAACCCGATTTTTCCCGGGCGATCCAAATAAACGTATTGCAATTCTGTAAAATGGGAACAGGAAACGACAGCTGCAATAACGATCCAAGGAAACGGGCACGATGACTACGGGATTCACTCCACCAGCTCGTTCCCGGCTTTCTATAACGAGATACACCGCTCGTAAACACACTTTACTAAACCGGAACGAACGGGCGAAGCCATGGGAACGGCTTACCTAGCGGCTTAAGTGTTCTGTCTCGTAGCAAAACGCATCGGTACAGATGCACAACGATTCACTTACCTCAAATCCAAAATCTATTGCTAGCCGATAAAAGATTGCTCGGGTTATTGCTGATTTAATCGCGAGGAATACTCGATGTCCGAAAGTGTCCACTGCCTGTTTTATGGGGACTAGCAAACATCGCTAGATGGTGTCAGGAAAGAGAAGATATAGAAAATACAAAATATTATGGATTTAACTATTCAATAATATGGAAGCACCATGTTATTCAGAAAGAAAGCACATAAAAAGAATAGAAGATATACAGGGTAAACCACGAATCGTGATCAGTAGATATTACTCTGGTATTAGCAGTCCGATCGAAAATGTTTCCATCAAGTATAGCATGGTTTCAAGAGAGCTTTAACGTGATTATAGCAAATTTTTTGTCAACTCTTTTTTTTTCATGATTTTTCAAGGTCACCTTCAATTTTTTGCAAATACTGGTAAGTATCATAACATAACATGTGTTAGGCGTAAAAAAATTATAGGCGTATTTGCAAAAAACTGAAGGTGACCTTGAAGAATCATGAAAAAAAAGAGTTGACAAAAAATTTGCTATAATCACGCTAAAGCTCTCTTGAAACCATAAAAAAATTTTCGATCAGACTGCTAATAACAGTGTAATCTCTACTGATCACGATTCGTGGTTCACCCTGTATACATAAACAGGGATGAACTTGTCAAATTTCAAAGAGGATCGGTTCATCGAAACAGAACCATGTCGCGCATACTTTGTATCCATTTATTGCACCTTAACAGTAATCTTCTCGTTTTACAGAGTTATTTTTGGCCGTTTACATACACCCGTAAAAACATTATAATACATATATATATAAACATACATATATATATGTGTATATATAAATATGTACATATATATATATACAATATGTATATTATAACTCTATGCCATAAAATGTTCCGGTTACACGTTACAACAGTTACCAGTGACGAATCTTTGAGCAATTGTTATTGCTGTTAGGACGAGACAGCGAAAGGGATATTCGAGACGTACCGAAGCAAAATTCTTCCATCGAATCGTCTCGATCGAACTAAACGGATCGTGTGAAAGCAGCAGAAACAAATAATACAAACAAAATCACGCACAATCTATCACAAGTTATTACAATCTAATTTCACAACGTGGATTCTCCACGTGGCCACACAACATCGACTACGTTAAAACAACCTAGGAATCCAAAACCGTGCACGCCACCGCTCCACGCCTCCCATACTATCGATTTTAGATCAATTATACAACACACCTGCTATTTCTTTCCCTGAGACGATACAACAGCCCGATAGTAGTTCGCGGTCTTTAAAAAAAAAAAGACATTTTTTTCGTTTGAGGTTTTCGTTCTCGAGAAAATTGGGTTTGAACATTCATCTGAAACGCGTGTACTCGTGCTGACAATAAGTAGAAACAGCCTGCAATGAACAGACGCGTTAGCCGAGTTCTATTGTCCGTGTATTCAACAAATTTTCAAGTTCGACTACATACGTCGACAACAAAGCATCACACGAAAACATTTTATTCATTTATTAACTCACCCTGTATGTTCACTTCCCTTTTATTGTTGCGTACATCAGAATCAAAACACAACGTACATATAGCGATCAATTACGCAACGCACTCCCCGTTTCTTTCCCCCAGACGGTACAGCCCGATCTTTCGCGGTCTTTCAACGCCCAGAAAAAGACCGCTAGTTTCTCCGAACCGACCGGCTGGGGATCGATCTTGAACTTATACGCCGCAGCCCCTCTTAAATCACAGACAGCTAACGAGGTACGTTCACTTAAGTTTCCCCCGGCCTCGTTTTCCTGCTCTATGCGCCGGAGGTAGATACTACGTGCCGCGAAACACACCGTGCAGATATTTATTCCGCGATCCCGCATGCCAGTACTCTGATGACTTTGGGGGATTCGTGAGTGGAAGCAGCAAACGGGTGGGGTTTAGGGATCTCGTCTCCTGGCGAAATCGATAAACCGGTAGCCAACGGAAAACCCATCACCCCGTCGACACTGATCGCGGCCACTTGATTGACCCAACCCACGACCCCTGCATCCCTGCACGCAAAACCTTTCCACCTTTCGCGATCCCTTGCTGCTTCCTCTCCTTGCACCCTTCGCAACGATTACCGTAATTTTTTACTAACACGACTCTTCTGTGTGGAACAAATGTAGCTATTTCGAATGTGTCCAATGGGAATGGTTTTACAGTGAACCTTGATGAAACTAGTAACCTAGGTTCCCTGAACGGTGAGGCTTTTGAACCTAGAATTTGGAATTAGGCGGTATTGACGAAGATACGGTTGAAGCCTAATGGAAGTTGGTGAATACTTAGATAATTATTTAAGCCGTTGTGCGTGTTGGGAAAGTCACTGTATTTGGTTCAATCGGAACTTGTGAGAAGGGAGTCCTAGTACTTAGAAAGAAAAAGTTTCTCTGTCGGTTTTGTTTGTAGGTAATAATTCAGGTACTATAATCGAAAAACTAATAGAAGTGGTGATTTGTTAACTGAAACTGTAAGGCGATGTTATTTCTCTAGCGGGTTTACTATTAATAGTTGAAAGGTTTCGGTGAATGTGTAGAAAACTGCAAATAATAAAAATATATGTAATTAATAAAATTAGTAGCGAGTGAGTGAAAATTCCTCGTAGTCGATTTGAAACAGGGGTCTGAAAGATTTAGGCCCTGGACTATCACACTCCATCATTGATGATCTCAATTCGGCCCAAGTCAATGTTATCCACCTGTTTGACAGCATACATGCGAACTTTCAAGTCTATAGGACGTATTGACTGTCACTTTCTTCGATGTCTCAGTTCTACGTCACGTTGCATTACCGTTTCTTCCCAGAACTGATAAAAAAAACAGCACAAATGTTGGTTTCTTCTTAACACTGTTACCCTTTGCGCATGATATGTCGCCGATTGACCGGGGACGGATATGGCGTGAGTGATCGGAGAAAATTACCGACCGGGAATTGAGAAAATCCTACGACTTATGATAATGTATTTTCTTTGGATGATACCTGGATCGGTATTTATCTCGATATATCAACCATCTTAGGTTATTGTAACTGTTGTACAATCCAATTAAACAGAACTATCAGTTTTGGGACGATCGACCTTCAAGAAAAATTCCTCTTCCGCGTTACTCGTAGGTGACAAATTGTTAATCGTCAAATGAACTAGTTCGAGATCAACATAATTTGCTGGACCAATCGTGTTTTGCGTTAGATCTCGAGATGGATACGTCTGAAACCGTTCATTGCAACCATCAAGACTAAATAATGATACACGTTATATATTATATAGTGCCTCAAAACTCTTCAAATTTCACGTTTCAGTCACTGATCGTTATTAGAATACTCCACTCGAACTTCAACTCCAGGAGTGTCAAACTACGATCAACTCGTGGAGGAAGTCAGCGAACACAGACAATCGTCAAGACAGCAACAATCATCACAGTCATGTATCAATCAAAGGAAACTCTTTGTCGATCTCAATCAATCTATTACTGTAACAACCAAAGTCTATATTTAACGTTAACTGTTGGTTCCTCTTGTTGGTTTCGCACAAAATAATTCATGTCCAATAATTCACTTAACTAGCTACACGTCACAGATTCCCTTGACAAAAGTTTATCTCATTTGACTCTCAGTCTGTGTGGATCTTAAGTATGACGACAGGTAACACAGTGACACCTAGAGGCAATGTCGATGTCGATCGGTTGGTCTCGCAACTGATAAAAAGGACGGCGAACCGGATTATCTCGTATTCGATCAACGAAACCTCCGATGAGCTCTTCGTCACTTGACGTTCTTCATCATTTTTAGAGGATCCCGCATGTAACGGGCGAACACTTCCTTCTTGAATGTCTCGAAATGCTTCCTGTTGGCACTGTTCTGGCGTTCGCGCCATGCTGGCCTGGTCTTCCTCGTCTGTAGGCCCCAATGTCCGGTGAACACTGGCGAGAGCACCTTGAATTGGTAACCGGCTACGAACATCTCGTACACCTGCATAGAAGAATTATTGTTTAACAGAATTAGTTTGGATCTTATGAGAGTGAATATTTACTATCGACATGATACTACATCGACATCGATACTGATACTGTCGAGTCGTTGAAATTATGAGCTTGAAAGACATCTAAACAGTTCAAGTAACAAAACGGGAAACTTCTTGAGGGGATCATTTATTTGGTGACTTGGATCTATACAAACATACACACCTTCGGCTGGAGTTCATCTCATAAAATACCCACAAGTCTATAAATAAAACATAGCAAACGGAAAATGACATTATGAAGAACGTAACAATAATTACCAATTCTTCGTATAATAATGAAATATTGAAATACGACCGAATAATCCAGGTGTCACGGAGTTTCTTAACGTTATTCCCAGCAGCTACTGAAATTTTCATTAACCGAAAATAGATCTCCGGTGAAGTGACTCGTACTCCTCGCTGTCCGAAGTACGAATGTATCTGCATGCAAATAATAAATGGATTCGCGAGTGGAACGGTCCGATAACACGAAAGACTCCAGCGCGGCACGATTTCAATCCCGAGGCGAGACGAGGTTCCAGTGACGGTGAACGACCGCCATGGATTCTTTACGACTTCACCTCGAGAGACTCGATGCTTCGAACTTCGAACTCGAGATCCACGGGGCGGAGATTCAATCGGTTCGTCTCGCAGCGAACGCAACGCCGTGAACGCACACGCCACTATTTGCCCACAAACACGGAGGCGGTTATATGGGTACCGGTAGAACGACCGTATCGAACGTTTCAGAGGAATAGGACGTAAAATAAAAGAACTACTCGTTCTGGTGTGGGCGGTGAAAGAGACGGAAAAATGATGAAGCCGACTGAAATTATGACAGAGACGTCGCGCGAGGAAGATGCTTCTAAATTCAGCTTCTTGGACTGTTTGATCAATCATCCACTGTTAATCAAAATGTGAATTTCATTTTTTTAATCGAAACATAACTGTATGAAAAGTTCAGTGAAATTGAATAGTACATACTTTGCTGAACTTGCGAAAGCTCTAGTAGCGATTATTGTATCCAGTAAGTCTACAGCCATTCCATATTTCAGATAACATACCGCTCTCCAAGATCCCAGCGTCCAAACAGCACGATATCATGGTAAGAATATACCGTACCAAAAATACAATAGTTCCACAGCCTCGAGTTATAAATCGTTTCACCCAACGATAACATAAAAATCGTAACGATTCAATATCACCTACGGAATCCGACTGATATTCCCCATAGTAGGTCACGAGCAGTAAAAATGACTCTTTCTGCTCCGGCAAACAGACCGCAAGATAATGTCCTTCAAAAAAAGAACCAAGAAAACAAAACAAAATTCGTAGGATAATATTTATTTCGCCCAGACGCGGACAGCGTAGCTTCCTTCGTGAAATTGAAAAAGTGCTTCGCCCGTCCAGGCGGTGGGCGGGGTCCAGAAGCGAAAAAACGCAGCAACCTCGTGAAACTTGGCGAAATTATATTCGTGTAGATATCCCGCGGATAGTGACATTTCCACGAGAAACACCGTGTTTCCGACGTTACAGCGGTTTTAGGGGAGGAAGAGAGAGAAAAGGGAAGAGAGAGAGTGAGATGGACAGAGCAGAGCACGGCTTGGCAATCTCGCCGCTCGGTCCGCCGGCTGAGACAGGTCAGACAGTCCTAACAGACGAGATCCGGCCTTGCTGTTCCACAGCCTGGATACGTCTTCGCGGAATAATCGTACGTAACAATGGCAAGTCGTACATGACAGTCGTTTCTCCGGAGCAGACACCGTTGTGATTGCCAGGCGGAGACGGGAAAACGATTGAATCAACGGTGTTTAAAACGTGTTAAATTTTATACACTAACCGCTAGGACCATCAGAAGAAATCCTCGACGAGTGTTCAAAGGCTCCTCGGCAGTGACAAGGAGAAATCTCCAGGTACAGTTTCCTCTCGATTATTGCCTGGCTTGTTCTACACGATTATTGTCCATGCGTTATCCCCACAAAAGTACAGTGTTCTATACAGTTCCTTAACCATGTTAGAGCGAAACCGTGTTATTCGGGGGTTACCCGATCTTCTACGGGGAGTTGTCTGTATTATTTAAACCAGGACAAGAGAAAATGGAGGATTCAACGGTTTATAGTAGCGGAGAATCTGTCAACGTACAAAGTAACGGAAGGTTCGATTGACCTAGCGAAGCGCTTGAAAGAGTTTTCCGCGACTAAAGCCATTGTTTTCCGAGGCTCGCAACAAAAACGTAAATTCCGTGGCAACTGAAGCTCGGGTTTGATTGGATAGATACCGTGTGTGTTTCCACCACCGCAAACTCCTGTAGCAGCTAGCTGGGATCTGGGATGCTAATGAAAGCAGACCGGCTAAAGGTTCCTAAGCTCCAAAGCTAATATTATAGAGGATTAGTCTGGAGATTTAACACTGGAGGTTTTCAGGTTAGACAATCAGTGATTAAGGGCTGACTTGCAAGACACGTATTTTTTCATTTGTGATAGGAAGCAAGGATTGTTTAAAGCAATGTTTTGTATTAATAAGCACCGAAGCCTCGTAAACTTCTCCAGTTGTGCTACATGCATGTGTTTGTTAAAGGTGGGGCAAAGCCGTAATAGAGACCTTTGTACAGAGGTAGCGTAAAAGAATATTTATACAGGGTGTAACAAAAATGTTGGAGAACTCGGAAACGGGAGACTTCTGAGGTGATTTGAAACAAGTTTTTTCTTAGTAAAAATATTATCCGAGGCTTTGTTAACGAGATTTTAAAGACAACCCGTCAGAGAGAGAGAGAGAGGGGTTGCGCTCGAAAGAAGGTTTAGAAAAGAGTAGGTGAATGAGATTCATTAAGCCGCAGTTGAGACGCGAGGATGCTCGTAATAATTAATACGGAGGAACACCGCGTCGTGCTTGAACGGAAACACCGCCGTGATGCATATGACAACATCAAAAGGAACTGATAGACGGCATGTAATCTTCAGTTCTCTGTTTCCGGTGACGTACCAGTGAATAATTATACAAACGTAACAGGTAGGATGACAAGCCGTGACAACGTCTGTTGCGTTCAGACTATCTCTGTGAAGAGTGTTGCGTTAATTATGTCTAAGTTCTAACGTCATAATGATCGCCTCGTTGACTGACAACAGTTCCTTGAACGATCAAGTTCCTTCTCCAACGATTCTTCTTCATAGGGGTACAATCGATTTTTAATCTGAAGAAACGAACCTTCAAATATTCTAGGTATCTAAAATTATAGCTAACGAAGAGAATATGAATATTTAAAAGAAGCTTATTTTAACTCCGTATCATAAATCAAACATGTTTTAGATACATTGGAATGTTACATCTTAAACAAGATAAAATCTTGAACTAAAAGCCCATATTTAGACCACCTCCTCTATTAAAAAAAATTCCAGCGAATAGTAACTGTTTCTGTCCAGCCTGTTGTCCTGAGAGACGCCAAACGCAAACGATGACCAGGTTAAATTACCCTTGACTATCCTCCCGGACGTGTGGGCACTTGCCCCGTTGATTAGTAACACAGAATTGTTACGCGTAATGCACATTACACACGGATTATTCGTCTTAATTAGCCAGTGGACGAGAATTAATTCCCTTTACAGCGTACATCCCCGCGAGTCGCATTCTTGCAACAGGGTGTAAAACATTCCTGGGGCACCTGCAACGACGAGGCCGTTCGTGGAACACCAGTTTGTCCCGGAGTTTCGAGGGAACACAGATTACATTAAACAACATAACGAGTTGACGTATCCTCCTAATTAGCGGCCGCGGACACTTTGCTTTTGTCGAAGGACCCTCGTTCCCCCCTCCTAACGGGGCTCGTCCGGGAAAATTACATCTCGAATAAATGATTCCGCGACAAAATGGCCGCCACTCTCGCGCGAATCGTCATCGAGCACTAAATTACGTTGCCCCCAAAAAATAACCAGGATTATTACAACATTTCTTGTTTACTATCTAGGCGAAAACTCTAAGTGTCTGATTTTGACTTTAACAGAATTTTGTAAAATGACAGTACAGTAATTTCTCCATGAGAGCAACGAACTCGGATCTGCTTCGAAACATTCAATACACTCTATCATTAGCAACCTGTATACCGTTTTCTTACAAAACCCCGTTAAAATCGAAATCAGACAGTTGAGGTCCTTCCCTTGTAAGTTCAAGCTTGGATCTATCATATCGACACTGGAAGAAAATTACAATAAAACAATGCGTACCTTCAATCTTTTACTCGTGTTTCGGTGAACTTCTTCGAATTCCCGAAAATTCAATGGCAAACAAGTAATTCATAATTCCGCGGTGATGTAAACGGGGACCTGGAGAAAAGCCCGATTCACAATGAGCGGTTCCACCTCAAACGATATCCGGACGCGTTGTATTAATGTAAATTTACGCAATTCCTCTAGACGCGGGCCCCAACGATCGTTCTTTCGTGCGGTCGTTACGGAGCATACTCCATTCGGTTTTGCTTGTTTCCTTCCCCCCAGCTCTAGTCGACTATTTCTGCGCTGGGAGAACACGGAATTCAAAGCGTCTCCCAGCTGGTGGTATGCGTTCGCACTAATCATTAACTCTCGTACACACCTTCACACGAAGCTACCGAATATCCTGTTTAGTTATAGATAGGGTTGTGTGTGTGCAGCGTTATCAAGCGGAACGCTGTGAAATTATTTCTGGTCTAAAGGGAAAGGATAACAGAAGGTAGGAATTTCCCCCGTTGCTAAGCACCGCCCTCAAAAATTAGAAATTCCCCCGGTTTTCTTTCCCTCGAATTTTCCAAGAATCTTCCGTTCCCCGGGAAATGAGAGGCTCTTTCGAGCTTGCTTCCCGCGAAATGGAAACATTCGAGGATGAAGAAAGAAGCGTTTAAATAAATGATTTCAAGTAAAATTTTCAAACATAAAATCGATATATCGGAGAAGTAGATTCAAATTTGTGGCGAATCTTTAAGAAGTCTTTAATGCCAAGC